GATGAAACCAGATATTTTCACAGTTCAGGAAGAATCATGAGTCTCTGGAACAGACTTCTGAGAAGAGCTGTTGATCTGTTCTTTTTAAACTTACACGTTTTATCATCTTAACCTTGTTTTATTGTCTTTTCCTCCATTGATCTGCTTTGATTTGCGTTCGTCTCATTTTTAACATCCCGTTTTGTAGGATCACGCAAAATTATCACCGGCAAGTCCAGGGATTTCTTTTTCCGTTCACCTCGTAGTTATATTTTTTGTTATAGGTAAGCATATGTCTGATTCATCACTTTGTACATTCAATGTAGTTACACAGAATATTTCACGAAATCTCAAAGTGTGTTCGTAGGAGACGTCATCTCCGCTGAAAGAACTAAACCTTTGAGATAAAAATGCTGACGCGTCCGTCAGCGTCTCATCTGTATTCACCGGAGCAAAATGAGATAAGTGAGTGTTTCTCCTGCAGAGTCAGGACGACTCATCCAGCCGTTTGTTCTCGGTAATGACTCCGTTAGCAGGAATTAACCTGAGTCCAAATTAATCACTATCATTTTTAATTATAGACACTTTGCTGCTGTCGACTCTCTGTGAGTCTCAAGCTCATACTTTCTTACGGTTTGAGACGAGTCAGTCGGACAAAGAGATAAGCAGCGAAAAATTCAGTTTGTGCAGAATTCAGTTTGTGTAAGCGGAGAGTCCATAAATAACACTTACATAATGTAAATACTTGTCATGCAGAGCGTCGCTTCGTCCTCTCTGGCACAAAGTGATCTCATCGGGGAGGAAGCTGCAAATCTGAGGCTGCTCTGACCCATCGCTGGTGTGTGTTCTCCGCTGTGTTTCAGTGTGTGTGTGTGAGTGTGTGTGTCCTACAGGTCAAACTGACCAGTACTTGGTGTGTCCACTCTGTGCAGATGTGCGTCTGTGTTTGTGTATCTCTCTTTAACGAAGCCTGATTTCCTGCCGCCGAGTCAAAGCGAAACGGAGCGATGAGAGAAACAGGACTAAAGCTCTGGACGACACGTTCCATAAACATGCTACAGAGAAAAACCGAAAACAAGAAGGAAGTTTTAAGGCCGATGTTAAAAATGAAACATTAACAAACTGATGATTACACAAGAAAAAATATTAGAAAAATGCTTTACAAACACAGCAGGATACAATTGCAGTCCCGTCTGTTACCATGGAGGAGGCGGGGTGTATGACCTGTACTGCAGCCAGCCACCAGGGGGCGACTGTGATGTTTTGTGTCTCTCTCCGTGGCAGTGAACAGTCGAATCCAGCTTCTACTTGTTTTATTACTTATTCCAGGACAAACTAATCGTTCTAATCGCACCGAGGTTATTTAGTGATTATAAAATAACTCTTCAGTGGACGGAGTAAAGAGCTCAGGTGCACGAATCAGTCACAAGGACGTGATTACCGTGTGTCCCTGGAAACGCAGAAGGACTCATAATGAGCTCATAATGTCTCCTCAGAACTTTCTCCCTCTCGGAAGTTAATCATTTCACCCTGTGTTGAAATGTCAGACTCAGTTGGTCTCTCCTCAAACTGCAGCTCCGTGACTTCGGAGCTCTTTCACCCTTTAATGAATTAGCGTTTACACGTGGTTCAGTTCGGTGAGGAGACTTCATCTTCCTCATGTGTCGTATCTTTGCGACATCATCGCTTTTTCAAGTTGTGGACTACAGGATACAATGTGTTTCTATCTCAAGTAAAATCAAACTGACGTTATTTATGTTGCGGAATGAGACAGAAACTGACGATTGAATCTCCGGACGGATGAACGATAAACTGACGACCAAATCAAGAACATCAGCTGCATGTGTAGAGAGTCGTGTTGTGTCTGAACCTTCTGCGTCTCAAGGAGGACTGAACGACATGAACACAGAGTACAGACAGAAGACTTTGTCCATCTCTCTTTCTCTATCTGAAAATGTGAAATAATATTTCTGTGTGTCTCAAAGTGTTCCATGACATTTAAAAAAGTAGAAATATTACTTCACATTATATTACATTGTGTTTTTTCAGTTTGGAGAGCTGATGAGGTTCTCGTCGTTGTCACACTGCCTTGCTCTTCGACTTTACCATGGTAACAGCAGATCCAGCAAGAAGAAGGGAAGCAGCCTTGACTGGTTTCTATTGTTCACAGAATCTGATTCATCAGTGAAGATTCACAGGATGAACTGAATCCACTTGTTTGTACTTTGGTGATACTACTAAGTTTAATATCACAGGTTTAAGTTCTGATATGATACGAGAGCTTTAAATCAGCTAATAAGAGTTTACATGTGCGTATCTGTTTATTAATTATAATTTAAGTTCAAGGACGCCACTTTAAAATGACTTTTTCGTGGATTTAATGTTTAGTTGAGTTATTCGATGCAGGTCTGAAGCAGTTTTTAAAGCTTCAGGCACGTTTCCTTTCAGCCCCTGGTAACATTTTACATTCTCCTGTTGTTGTTGTGAACGAGTCCTTGACAATCTCCTGCTACTTCTTCAAATGAGAAACACAAACTCATTTCATGTCTAAAAACAAACGAGAGAAATCAGCTGCTCAAACAAACCCGTCAGTATTTGCTCTGAATGTTCGCTGCTTGTTTTCACAGCTTTATATGAACAGAGGATTTACTGAGTTGATGTTTGTCGTCTGGACTCAAACTCAGCAGTCGTCCATTCAAATGTAATTCTGACTTGAGTACTTGATATTTGCATACTAGTTGAAAATCCATTATTTAAATCACTGAGTGAATACGCACATACATGGTTGAGATGTGCAGGTGGAAACATTTGACGTCTTTTAGCTTTTAGATTTAATGGTTGGATTTTGGAGCCTTTTCTGTTGCTTTCAATGGAGGAAAAACAAATGAATGTGCTTAAAGCCTCGAGTTATTTTATCCGTCACTAATGAGGCCGTAAATAAATGAATTCAAGTTTAGCCTCAGTTCAATGTATGTATGTGCGGCTCATGTGGAGTTAGTGTTGAAAAGGAAATTGTACATTTCAGTATGAAGTGTGTGTTCTGACCCTCAGGGACCCTCAGCGTTAAGTGTTTAATTGATCTTACCTTGTGTTAATAGCCCTTAAATCTGCTGTTTTCTGCAGCAGGTCCATCTCACTCAATAAGGATTCAACACTTAAATTCAATATATATCTGAAAGATGTAATAAAAATAATAAAAATTCCACATCTAGTGGATTTAAACGTGGCTGTCGAGCCTTGGACGCATCAACTCTCTTCTAGTTTTCAGTCTATTCATTTCAAGGTTTCGATGCTTCCTGATCAAACACGACAGATACAGTTTCAAACCCCTTACTGCTCATTCATTTAACTTGTTTTATTTGATATTAAATATGATCTCAGAGAAACTGCAGAGCTTTGGAAACTAAGACACTGTAGGTGCTGCAGGACGTCTTTGTTCGCTCATCACATGTTGGTTGTATAACTTCGCTGCAGCAGAACAGAAAAAGCAACACGTAACCCTGAAACGTCAGGTTGGCATTTGTTCACTTTTGCAAAGAAAATTGTTCTTTGTTTTTTCTGTTTGTATAAATTGCCGACGCACACTCTCTCCCGTCCCCGAGCTGTTGTTTCTGTCTCTTCACCCTCACGGTTGAAAGGTGTCGTCTTTGTTGGTCCGCCTGGAAAACAGCTCGTTATCTGTGGCGCCAGGTGATTAATGGAATATAATATGGCAATTTATATAATTTGGAATATGACAGAAACTGATCAATTCTAAACTAAACCAGATTCATCACAACACAGCAGGTGTTCTCATGCATCAGCTCCACGCACACTGCAGTTTTCACTGTGATCCATCGGTGTCTGTGTCTTTGTCTCTGAAGAGCTTGAACCTCGGAGTAGAAAAACTTCTCGTTTTCCTCCATGAACGGAGCTGAGAGGGGATTGAGAGATTAAAAAAGAAAAACCTTGAAACCTCTTCACTCTGAGACATGAATACGTTATGGTTTACGTCACCGGCTCAGGGACAGGATGGTATATCAAGTATTTATTTACGCACAGACATCGACTATGAAGCTGCGCTGATTATTATTATTAACAGTGAAACAAGTATGTTTACTAAACAGGTTCTCAAGATTTTCATTGGTTTTTGGCTCTAAAGTTTAAATTCTTATAAACTAACTGACGAGCGCAGCGGAGGATTTAAGAAGCTTTATCAGTATTTTTCAAATTAAATCAGGGTTAATATTTGTCGTATATATTTGACAACTGTTATTATTTGAGGCCATGCGTGCTTTAAGGTTGGTTGTTAAAAAAATAAAATAAAATACACCCACTAGAGGGTGAACGAGGTTTAGTGACGTTGTAAATCAAGTGAGAATAATTTTCTCAGAGACTTCTACAGAAACAAACTTGTATTAAAACCAGTGGAGTCGCCCTCTGTTGGTCGTTGGTAAGTTTGCAAGTAGGTTATGAAGAAAACAGAATATTTAGTAAATAACATCAGAAGTCATGGTTGATTTAAAATTACGTTCTAGTTATCTATCTATTTATCCATCCATCCATCTATCTATCTATCTATTTATCCATCCATCCATCTATCTATCTATATATATATGTATCTATATATATCAAACCCTGTGATGTTCTTCAAATAAATTAATTCTTGTGCATCAAGCCGAACTGTGCTCCTCCTCCAAGCTTATCATGCAGCTGATAGGGCGAACGACTAGAGAGGAGTGTGTCAGAGAGAGAGAGAGAGTGTGTGTGTGTGTGTGTGTGGTATAACAGAGAGAGAGCGAGAGCGGGGGGGGGGGGGGGGACCACAGTAGTTTGTAAAGTGATGATCTGCCTGCGTTCACACAGCTGCTGCTGAGCTCTGCTCTCTCTGCCGCTCATCGTTAATTAAACCCGTGTTCCACTTCCTCCGTCACCTTCTCTACGTTCTGCTTCGCTCTGCTCCGTTCGTCAGGACTCTTCAGAGAACGTTCTCACTTCGCAGTCTGTGAGAGCGGAGAGGAGAGCGGGGGGGGGGGCGAGGACGGATCATCCTTGGCTGAGAGAAACACCAGCGGCAGGTGTTTGGAGGAAATAGTTTCTCTGCATGGGAAGAAGAAAAAGAAAAGATTCTTTCTTTCTCTCTGAGGACATGTTGACGTCCTCACAATGAGGACGATTGACAGCCGTACTCACTGAGACCAGATGGAAAACTAAGGACAGACAACAGGAGACATTATGAACGCTACAGAACATCCTGGACTGATCCAAGGCTTCCACAACCGGAGCCAGACCACGCCGTCACCGAACGAGGACTTTTCCGCCCAGGACAAGGACTCGTCAGCAGGATGCTACGAGCAGCTGCTGATCTCCACCGAGGTCTTCCTCACTCTGGGCATCGTCAGCCTGCTGGAGAACATCCTGGTGGTCGCTGCCATAATCAAGAACAAGAACCTTCACTCGCCGATGTACTTCTTCATCTGCAGCCTTGCCGTTGCTGACATGCTCGTCAGCGTCTCCAACGCCTCTGAGACCATCGTCATCGCGCTCATCAACGGAGGAAACCTGACCATCCCCGTCACGTTGATTAAAAGCATGGACAACGTGTTTGACTCTATGATCTGCAGCTCCCTGCTGGCGTCCATCTGCAGCCTGCTCGCCATCGCAGTCGACCGCTACATCACCATCTTCTACGCGCTGCGATACCACAACATCGTCACGCTGCGGCGGGCGATGCTGGTCATCAGCAGCATCTGGACGTGCTGCATCGTGTCGGGCATCCTCTTCATCATCTACTCGGAGAGCACCACGGTGCTCATCTGCCTCATCACCATGTTCTTCACCATGCTGGTGCTCATGGTGTCGCTGTACGTGCACATGTTCCTGCTGGCGCGCTTGCACATGAAGCGCATCGCGGCGCTGCCGGGCAACGCGCCCATCCAACAGCGAGCCAACATGAAGGGCGCCATCACCCTCACCATCCTCCTCGGGGTGTTCGTGGTGTGCTGGGCGCCGTTTTTCCTCCACCTCATCCTCATGATCACGTGCCCGAGGAACCCGTACTGCACCTGCTTCATGTCCCACTTCAACATGTACCTCATCCTCATCATGTGCAACTCCGTCATCGACCCCATCATCTACGCCTTCCGCAGCCAGGAAATGAGGAAAACCTTCAAGGAGATTTTCTGCTGCTCAAACGCTCTGCTGTGTGTGTGAGACGTCAGCAGAGCGACGGCCTTGACGGCAACGATCTGCAGTTTAAATGCCAGTCGGCCAACGAGGACTTTGATGTTTCGAGCTGCTCTCACAGTCGCTGTAAATGATTGATGATTGCAGCGTTTGCCTGTGGCGCCGTGAGTCAGGGTTCCGAGGGGGGAAGGTTTACAAACAGCTTCTGACCTGGAGCGTCGCTCTGCAGGCGAACGCTGCGACTGCTCTGCTGCTCTCAAGTGCAATTTGAAGTAAATGTGACCAACATGTGTTCAAACCATCAAACAAACTGTTGTTTCATGACGTCATCATTCATCCGACTGATTCTTTCTACTTTCACGTGTTCAAATCTATCGCGGTCATCGTGAAGAAAGTACGGACGACGGTACTTCAGTGCCACAGCGGAGATGACAAACTACCTCCATGCTGCAGAGTAATCCTCCTCATCACAGGAACCACGAGAGTGAGCACTTTATTAGGAACACCGCACTCGTATTGATTCAGCCAGGTCAGGAACTGTCCTCTGAGGCTCCGCTCCATGTTGATGTGACATTTCTGCAGATTTCAGTCACGCCGCCGGTTTCCTGTTTGACCGGGTCACAGAGAGGTCAGATGTGTTGGATATGAATGGAGGCAACTTTCCGAGCGTTGATGCGAAGATGGTAAACTGTGACAGGATCAGGAACAACATTCACACACACACGTTCAAACAATGAGTTGGTATCAAATGGAACAAATATGGCCAAGAAATCCTCCCTGCACCATCACACCATCAGATTCCGAGCTCCTGCCACCTCAGGTGTCCGTCACGGAACCTGACGTGGTCGCTGCTGTCGTAGAACCGTTCCACATCTGGTTCAGACGTGTTGCAGCTGGAGTCATCGCAGCTTTTCTGTCTTCTCCACCCGACCCACTGTTTCTCCATCGCGTCTCCGTCCCCTGACGTTCTGAGTGAGTTTCCCGCTCTGATGCCAACATGAACTGAAGCTGCAGGACTTTAAGCTTTGCACTGCTGCCACCTGATTGGCTGATTGGATCATTAAGGAGTTCCTCACAAAGTTCTGGTGTATATAAAGTGTAAATTCCTTTTTGTTCACAATGAATGTATTTATTCATCATATATTTATGTATGTCCCTCTAAGATCTCAATCATGAACTAAGAAGCTTCTCAAAGGGTATTTTTGATGGTATTTTAACAAAATACGTGTAAATATGTCAACTTATAAATGATGCACAGGGGAAATAAGTCTATTTTGCAGAGAAGAGGTGTCAGGTGGGATTTTTAAAGCTGCTCCAAAAGGATGAAAGCACAAAGAAAAGATTTAGGTTGTGATGTTAAATTTAAAAAATGACAACATATGTGTTATTTGCCTGTTTGCTGCTATTTGCCTGTTATCACACAGGAAGTGTTCATGGACAGTTGTCCCAAATGCAGGGTTGTACAATTGTAAAATCAGAACAACAATGAGGGTATACATTATTATTGTTATTATAAATGTGAATGTGCAGAACAGAAGATTCAGAGAATGATCTTAAAATGTGAAAAATGTGGCGTTTTGTGTTGATCAAGAACAAAACACGTCAACATGTTTCTGGTTTACGTGTTTTTGCAGATCCTCACCTGTTTTCTTTTTTTTTTTTTCCCGCAGTTGAACAGTTTCAATTTAACGTATCGTAAGATTTCCTGTGTAAAAACTGATGAAACGTCCGTTGTGACTCATTTGATTTCCAATCGAAGCTCTTGTGAATTTGTGCATCGTGTACACGTTTGTGTGAATCTGCACACGTGGGCTGTGTCTCACTCTCAGCATGTAAATGTGATTTTACAGAGATCTATTTTTCCTCATGTTCACGTAACAGGACGGGTTCGACCGAGTGTATTTTTATGTACGTGCTGTGTGACCTGTTGCTTTTTATCCTTGCCTTAAATTTATTGCACTGTGATGTAAAGAGCGAGTATAATCCTCTGTGACGGTGTTTCACAAACTGATCTTCAGTTTTTCTATTTGAGTAAATGCTATTTTCAACATTGCCTTATTTATTTATGCCTTTTTAAACTTGAAGTGCTCATGAAATGCACAAGAAAAACAAACGTACACGGGCGCCCCGCTGTTTTCTGTTCACAAGCTTCGCCTGGAGTTTGAGTCATATGTTGCTTGATGACTGCATCCTCTGTAAACTGTGCTGCAAAGTGACTTCAATAAACCTGAACCGGTCTCAGCTCAGTCCTGTTTGTCAGCGTTCCTCTGGGCCGCAGACTTTAACCTTTGCTCAAACCCCAAGCTGTTGACTTTTCACCATTTCAGACGTGAAAAACAGCCTCAGGCTCAAAAACAAATGAACAGATATCACAGTAAAATACAATTATACGTGTCTTCTAATGCGTCACCATACATATTTGATTTTACATAAACCTGAACAGAATGTTAGCGGCTGAAAATCTTTCCTGAGGTGAGAAACAGGATGAAATAAACAGCCACAGGGGCTTTTTTCGTTCATGGTGAATAATTTAAACTGGAGTAAACAAATAGATTTATAAGTCTGGAAAATGACTCGTGTGTGGTTCAGGTTTCAACACTTGTTCAATACAGCTTTGGGGGCATCACTGCGACCAATGGAGTCTAATTTATTGCAAAGTTAATTAGATCCTCATGGACGTTTTAGGCTGTAATGAAGTTTTAAACTGAAGCTGAGAAACATCGGGGATGTCTCGAGGTCACTGGTGAGGGAGCATCTGTTTTAATCAAATCTACACAAGCTGCAACAGAGAGGCAGAAACGTCAAGGAAAGAATTTCAATTAAGAAAAACGACGTAGATTCAGTGCTTCTTATCTATCGCTGCAGATAATGATATCCAGAGAAGCTTTCAGGGGCTGAAGGCTGTGGGATAAATCTCATTTGACATTCCAAACATGAAAATAAAGGATTTGAAGATAGATGAGAAATCTTGCAGTTAAAGTGAAAGGCTGTGCAAATATTATTATACCTGAGTGAGTTCATCGAAAACTAAAACCAGTAGTGAGTGGGAGTGAGTTTCTCTGGAGGCGTGCAAAAGGTCAAACGATCAAAATGATGTTATTAAATTCAATTAAGCTTTTATATTTAAAAAATGCCAAAAACTTAAATTAAGAAAAGGGAGGGAAAGAAAATCTGAAAAATGAAATCCAGTTTGAAAGGTTTCTACATAATATTTGATTCAAATCTCTGCAAACGTTTGTATTTGAGTTACTTTCTTCAGAAACACAGTCGCTCGATCCCCGATAATGTGTGTGGGAGAAACACTTTCAGGAGAGCTGCAGTTTGGAAGGAAAACTCAAATACAAAATAATGTTTTCAGTGATAAAAATACAAATAAATTCTATCAAAACATAATGGAAGGTTTTAAAACTCAGTTCCAGTCATTTGAAAGCCTGAAACTAGTCTGTTATTTCCTCTCATAATAGAGCTGGACAGTGATTGTTGCGTAACGCAGAGGCTGACACGACGTCTTGTACATTCACCACCGGTTCATTCATCTCAGCTTGACAGTTTCCATTTGGCTCCAGTGGCATCAGATCCTCCACTTGTTATTATTACCTGAGCACAATGGACCACAGAGTCAGGGGTTCCACTGAAATACTGACATTGAGTGATGTGAATGACGTTTTGTAAAAAAAAAATAAAAATTAGAGTTGCAGCGGAGAGGCTCGATGTTGTTGTAGTTTTTCTTTTCAAGCTGATTGTTCGGATGTAAAAGAAAAACCTTGACGTTCAGAGGAGAGGACGGACAAAGTGTCGATGATTCATCGAGACCATATTTAACATCACCATTTTACAAAGAGCCTCTCTAACTGAACGTGGACGTTCTGCAGAAGGTCAGATGAGCTTCCAGTTCTTCTCTGCGGATACTTGACAACACAATGAGTTTTTCATGCGGGAGAATAGAAGAATGTGAGTAAGTTCAGTGGTAATAAATAAAGAGATAATATAAATTGAAAATGTCCATATGTCTCACGAGTTGTCTCCACCACCTGAGCCTGATTCAGTCGGATCAGTTATTACGCATGTTTTTAGTTTGGTCCATGTCCCGTGTGCTAACATGGAGGAGGCAGGGTTTATGATCAATACTGCAGCCAGCCACCAGGGGGGGGGGATTGAGAAACTTTTGGCTTCACTTTTTGGGAGCAGTCATGTCGGCCATCTTTATAAAAAGCAGATGTTTGACACTCGTATTTATTCATATGTCACTTCAAGTTATTCCAACTTGTCCATGTTGTTTGAATTCAGTCTCTTCGTCTTTTCATCCAGTTGAGTGACTTCCTGACTAAAGTTCCTCGAGGTTTACCGAGAACTCTTGGAAGTAAATCGACTCTGCGTCGTGTCAGTGATGCGTCGCTTCGTCTCGCTGCTCCTCGGACGGATGTTCAGCATCTTCACACCCGACTCCAGGATCCTAATAAGCTTCAGGTGAAGCTGCGGTATCACCGGCTCCAGCAGCGTCTCGACTCACCGCCTCCCGTGTATCATCCGCACGCTGGTTCCTCCACGAGGACGCCCGGGCGGTAGATAATTCAAGAGTTCTCTCCCCGAGCGTCGTATCGTTCTTTACACTTGATTTACAACAAGGGAAAATTAGCTTCCCCTCCTCCTCTCCTCCTGTGTTCTCACAGTTTGTCGTTGCGTGCGGCCTTTCAGCGACAGCGTTCACTCTGAGTCGTGTTGGCTGCGTCCGGCCTCGTCAGTCCGGCCTCTGGGGAATTAGTAAATGTTGAATCTACTCTCGTCAGCTCCAGCCACGGAAACTAATCACGGAATTGACTTCCAAGTCAGGCTCTCTCTGTTAAGTTCAAACTAATATTGAATAGTAAAACATGCGTGTGCTCTGCTCCTTGTTCTGAAACAGAAATGTGTCACGTTGAGATAATACTAGTACTCTAATT